CCCATCCTGAAGTCGGGGTCACACTCTCTTTGGAGGAGGCGAGAGCCGTTGCACTCCCAGGGAGAACATCTCTGCTAAGCTGCGTTTGTCCCAGCCAGGCAGTTAACAGTGACTTTAACCGGATTTGGGTTATTTGCTGCTCTAATTATTAGATCGTCTTTACTCATCCCAGCAATAGAAATGGGAGCAACTGGGCTTCAGGGGCAGAGGTGTGTGTGGGAGCCGAAGCGCTTGGGGCCATGGGACGCAGTGATTTCACTGGGTGACTTGTGGGGAAATTGCCCAGGGCTCTGCGTTCTGGCTGCGGGGGTTTGGTTGGTGTTGGGAAAAGTGTTTCTTGCAGCGTAACAGGTGTCAGGCAAACTGCTGAGGCTGCTTTGCCAGATGTGGTGGGTTTGCTGTTGGCAAAGGCACAGCGGTGCCAGGAGCAGAGCGGGGAGGTGGGACTGCTGGTGTCACATCTCTGGGGACAGCATGGGCTGGTCCCAGCTGCTCTCAGGGCACAGGGTGGCATAAATGTGCTGGATGAGACTGTCACCCTTCCGTGTTTAGCTGCCGAGTCACAACGCAAGACGAGGGCTCGCCGGCCCCATTTCCCAAGCTGGGAGCAGGGAGGGGGTTCGTGCAGCCTGACTGGAGCCATCGTCTGCGCTGGGGAGTGTCTTTCAGCTCCTCCACATCCCCAGCGGGTGATTCAGGGCTGCTGCATTAGTCACCTGCACTAAATTTGCCCTGAGGAACCTCTTCCTGCCTGTACAGCAGGACAGCGTCAGGGGTTAGGTGCTGTCTGTTCCCTCTGGTGAGACACTGGGTTCAGGGACGTGACTAAGGTCTCCAGGGATGATGGTGTTGGAGCCTGGGTGCAGTGCCCATGAGTTGAAGACTTGCTTGGCAAGGGTGATTCTTGCCTCACTCCTCAGAGATGCTCCCAGCACAGCCCCTAGAGAGGTGCAGGGAGAGGGATTTTGCCATGGCTGGATCCATCAGGAGGAGGAGAGGACAGCTCCTTCCTGTCTGTCCCATCTGCCTGTGAGTTTCCCTCCTCCAAGACCAAAGCAGTGGTGATGGCTGGCCTGGTGGGAGGAGTAGAGCTGTCCCTGCCTGGGGAAATGCAGCATTTCTCTGAGGTTCCCCTACACTTGTTCCTGCCCAGGGTTACTCCTCCAGCCTGGTGTTTCTGGGTTCCCAGCAGCACCAGGCTGATGGGTGACGGGGCCACGTTGCTCAGTCACCGCAGCGTTGCAGGATGGCATTGGGCAGGGGCTGGACCAGAGCTGCCAGCCTCCCTGCCTGACCTCCAGCACCCCTGGCAGGGCTGTATGTCCCACCGGTGCCCTGCTGCAGCTCACCTGGGCTGGCCCCTGAACCAGATTCCTTAATCCTTTGTCCAGTCCTGACCCCACCAGCAATCCTGAGAGATGCCTGTGGAGCTGGCAGGAGCTCCCCACCTCCGGACAGCCTTTCCCTGGGATGTGGGCAGCCCCAGAGCAGGGCAGCCCTGGGAGAAGCATTGGTGTCTGCTCCCATCTAAGCAGAGACCCTGTGGTTTGGCATCCACAGGGAGCAGGGACGTGTGTGTGTGTGCACGTGTGTTTGGTGCTTTGGAAAACCAAGGATCCCAGGGCTGCAGGAGGCAGGTGGGATCCCTCCAGAGATGGGCAGGGACCTGGCCAAGGTGTGGTTGGGTGGAGGGGACCCACTGACCCGGGCATTTGCCATGGGCAGATGACACCGGTCACTAGGAGCTGATGCAGAAGCTCGAGTTGATGGCTCTGGGGCATGAGGGGCTGAGGCCAGCGGTTTGGGGCGCTGCAGTGCAGCCCTGCGGAGCCGGGGACCGCAGGGCTCAGGGGAGCTGTGGAGGTGCCAAGGGAAACAAGCGTGGACCCCGTGGGACAGCCATGAGCAGCCTGTTGAACGCAGGGAGCAGGCAGGGCCGGGAGCTAACGGAGCAGATAATGAGCGGAGATGCCGGGGCTGGCCCTGGGAGCGCTGGGAATCACACCGAGCCAGCCTTCCCCATCAGACCTGCCAGCAGCGATGCCGTGAGGATCTGCAGGGCTGTGCTCAGCGCCCTTTGCTGTACCAGGGCATTTGGGAGAGGGACTCGTCACTGCCCTGTGCCTCCTCTGTCCCACCTCTGCAGGGATGTCCTGGGACCGGAGCCCAGGCTGTACAGAGCAGGACTCTTCCCACAGTGGGTTTGTCCTCAGCTGAGCTGCTGAGGAGGGAAAATGAGGCAGGAGAGGTGGGGAAACGCGCGTTTGGTGCAAACCCTGCAGAAGGGTGGCCGGGTGCTGTTGGACCAGCACCAGCATCTGCTGGGAGCTGAGAGAACCACCAGAGGTTTGGGGATGGGAAGGGGGGGATTTGCTCCTACCACCCTGGGACATCCAGCTCTCACCTCATCTTTGTTTCCTCTGGCTAGTGCCTGGTGACAGCAGCAGTGCTCTGTCCCCTGGGGTCCCCAGCCACCAGGGATGCTTCCCACCCAGTCGGGCGGCACAGTGCCAGGGGAAGTTGGTTCACAAGAAAAATAAGCAAATGCCAGCTAGGTGGCAATGTGCCACCTACAAGGAGCTGGGTCTCTCCTCCCATCTCCCCCAGTTCCACACCAGTCACTGCCCCTCAAGTGGCTGCGTTTTCTCCACCACAGCACCAGTGTGAATTTCATAGAATCATAGAATGGTTTGGATTGGAAGGGACCTTAAAGCTCATCCAGTTCCAATCCCCCTGCCATCAGCAGGGACACCTTCCACTAGACCAGGTTGCTCAAAGCCTCATCCAGCCTGGCCTTGAACACTTCCAGGGAGGAGCAGCCACAACTTCCTTGGGCAACCTGTTCCAGTGTCTGACCACCCTCACAGTGAAAAATTTGTACCTGGCAGATTTTTAAAGGTCTCTGAAATCTCTGTGCAAGGAGCAGGGAGGTAGAAACACGGCCCCTCTGAGGGAGCACTGCTGTGGCCGCTGTCACCGTGGGACAGCGCCGGAGGGAGCAGCCAACCCTCTGTAATGTGCAAGCGAGTTTCTAGCCCTTGGAGAAATGCTCCTTTCCCCTGAGATGCTGTTTGGCTTCGGAGCGAGGCTGTGGCCGGTGCTGGAATTTCTTTCCTCCTCTGTATGTGCTTTGGCTCTGGGTTTTCAGATGGGGACTTCTCCGAGAGCTGGGACTTGCAGCACGAGCTGGCGTTTCTGGAAGAGCTGCCCCGTACTGTCCCTGCCAGAGCTCCAGGGCTGTTTGTATCTGTACAAACCCAGCCGATTTTATAGCGTCCTCAGCTTTATTCATGGGAGGAGCAGGCTCACGAGCTCCCAAGCTGCAGCAGCATAAAAACAACTTCTCCAAACTACAGCTGAGAGGCCTGTCCTGGTGCGCGGCTGCTCGTGACGCCTGCTGCAAGCAACGCCACAGAAGTTATTTAGGAAGACTCTTATTTTGAGCAAAGGCGATAATGAGGCAGGCAAAGCCGTCACGCAGATATTAATTACTGGCTGCTTAAAGATGTAAAGAAGAATGAAGGTCTTGAGTGGTGCTGGGTTTGCAAGTCACCTGGCAATGCTTTTGGCCAGACGGGAGGCAGCAGGAAAGACGACGAGGGGAAATGTGCATTGAAATGATGAGGATATTTACTTCTGAATTGCAGCTCTTTAGCATATGCTGCTACTGCTATTTATAACCTTTGGATCGTCTTTTCAATCCAGATAAGGCCAAAAGAAGTATTTGGAAAAGACATATCAGGAAACGAAACAAACCACTGCTGATTTCGGAGCC